GCATATATTGAAATGTGCAAATTAAGATCAACTGATTCAATTAAGGTACCCACTCCGTTTCACAATGTAGCACATACATATTTTTTTGAAAGTCAAACCTCACAAACTTCGACTAAATTCACAGAAAAAAAACATTTACATCTAAAATGGCAAACATATATCATTAGATTCATCATAAGATGTAGTTTTATTTTATATATTTGGTATTACAGATATTAATAGTTTTATCTATAAATTTTTTGGTCAAAGTTTGACTTTATAAAAAAATCTATACGCACTACATGGAACAGAGGGAGTAAATAAACAAGGCAGTTCGTGTGAAGATATACTAGCTGTACACTGCATGCATGCCATTGTTGGTACCTGTCATGGAGAGTAGCACCCCTCCGAGTGCAATCCAGCCCTCTTTGCCGGTCCTCATGAAGAACCTGATGAGGTAGGTGGGAGAGAGCGCGTAGAACACCCTGGGATTCCACACGATGATGTTGTAGACGCCGGTGCCCCCCAGGAGGAGGAGCCAGGTGACGATGACCGGCGCGAACAGGAAGGAGACGCGGTGCGTCCCCCAGTGCTGCAGCGTGAAGAGGCACACCAGCACAATGCACGACAGGATCACCACCTCACCTGCTCTCTTTTTCAGAGGGCCGGCAAATTAGCAGCAAGCAGCGATGGCTGGTGGTTCCAGTAAGTGAAAAACCTTTGTTCCGATAAGTATAAATCTTTGTTGCAGCAAGGACTAGCAGTGCTGCGAACACTCACCGTTTGTTAGCGTGTGTGAATGGACCTGCAGACCCGAGAACGACGACATCACTGCGAGGATCGAACAAGATCAGCAGGCAGCCATTGAGATCAAGATCACTGCAAGGAAATTGTTTCACGCGCGGACGCACCGGACATGGCCGGGGTGAGGACGCCGTCGCCGATGACGAGGGAGGCGCCGAAGAGGACGGTGAGGAGGAGGCAGGTGCGCGACTTGCTGTGGTTCTCGAGGAAGTGGCGGAGCGCGCGCAGCATGGCCGTGTCCTGCGCCGCGTAGCCCGGCTTGTGGTAGGCGGAGAGCTCCTCGTCGGCGGCCTGCTGGTTGGGCATCAGGCTGAACTTGGCGTGCCGCACCAGCAGCGAGTAGAGCGCGAAGGTGCCGCCCTCGCCATTGTCGTCGGCGCTGAGCACGATGAAGACGTACTTGAGGAGCGGGATGAGGGTGATGGTCCAGAACACGAGCGAGAAGACGCCGAAGATGGTCTCCTCGTCCTCGAACCGCCGGACCGGGCCGGCGAAGGTGCTCTTGTACACGTACAGCGGCGACGTGCTCAGGTCGCCGTACACCACGCCGCAGCTCTGGTACGCCAGGAGCAGCACGTGCTTGTAGTAGGATCTCCAGTGCCTCTGCAGCATCCATCGTCAATATTTCCACTCAATAGAGAATAGCGAAGCACATCGACCGAGCACTGCAATCGATCGACTGCTTATATTTGCATGTTCATCATATTGAGCTCATACTACTCTTTCACGCTCGGAGTAAGCTATTTTTAGTGGGGTGTTACGAACTGCTGGTGGAAAAAAAATTGCTTCTTAAGATGTCTGAGCTAGTTCTCCGCGGCATGCAATGGTTAATATTTTCCTGCATGCATGATCGATGTTGCGATAAGCTATTGAGATTGTGTTGTTGCAGAAGCTATACTACTTTGTATCAACTTGATATTTTATATCGATCTCTATATAGAAAAAAAGGCCATCCATCCAAGTGTCCCTTCCATTCATCAAATGTTCTTGTTCATCCTCTTACATAACATTCGAATCCGGAACGCATGAGAAATTTGATGCATCAACATTTCCATAAAATTCCCCTGCTGGGTCGGGGGGGCATATAAGGTGCAGACTCATCGCTAGATGGGTGCATGAACCTAAATTGCAATGGATTCTTGCAATTGAAAGCCTCGAAATACACCACCGTTCTTGAGGACAAGGAAGGATAGCTCACTCACCGGGTTCCCATGCGGGTAGTCGTCGGCAGGGTACAGGTCGGCGATGTTCTCTGGCGAGATGCCCCTTTCGCAATCCATCGAGTGCATTTTATTCAGGGATGAAGAAGGGAGTCGGGAGTGGCCGGAACATACCCAGACTCACGAACTATGACGCGTACTCACTGAATTTTGCATGTCATGTCCCTCTATTTTTAACCATATGGATGGATGTGCTAGCATTCGGAGTGTTCTTGGAGATAAATGAGGGAGGGAAGAGAGCGCACTACCCGATTTCTTAGGAGGATGTTGACAGTTCTAGGCTTCTAGCTGCATGTAGAGGTGAAGTTGCAACTAGTAAAAACTGAGCGCATTGGTTGCATGTACATGTGCTTTGTCGTGTCTCCTTGGTCATGTCAACTCTCTTTATTTTTCTTACTTTTGATTTTTTTTTCCTTTTTTATTATGTGTTTCTGTACTGTCTCGACTAGGTCTTGATATTGTGGTATCGCAGAGTTCTGGTGTAATTGGTATTCCATCTTGAGATTAGTATATTACCCTTTGTCAAACAAAATTGGCCAAACCAAATGATGCCTTGCAAAAGCACGATATGTTAAAACCAAATTATATATCAAATAAAAGACATCTCCTAGAAAAGGTATGAAAGAAGGCAAATTTTAACATGCTCCCTCTTACTCCCTCTTTTTACATATGAGGTAAGAAGGTAAGAGTTAATCAGATCATTAACTAATGTGATCAACGGCTCAGATTTACTACATACTCTTACCTTTTATGTGAAAAGAGGGGGTAAGAGGGAGCACTACCTACAATGTAATTTTTTTTAGCGAAAGGACCTTTTCCTCGATTTCTATTATAGAAATCATAGAAGTTCTTACAGATCGCTAGACCCAAGAGCTAAACTAAAACATGCATCAAGACATACCTGACTAGAATTTAGGATGCAGCCCAATTCTTGCTAGAAGAGCAAACAATGTCCCTATTCGAGAAGCATTCATGGCACTTCTTAAATAGGTACCACCTACAGATCAATCCCACCCCAAACTACCATATCCATAACCTAACAGAGGAGTTTAACCCACGAAAAGACCAACCAACATATAGAGAGTAGATATGAAGGTAAAACAAAGATATTACGCCACAGACATCCGAGATAGCAGCACCATGCATCTTAGGGATAGCACCACCAGATATTCTTCAACCTTTGTTCATCAACCACCAGTTAATCTCATTACTCTAGGACGCCACCCCCTCGAAGCAATGAAGATGTCACTTCCTACTCACTCTAGTAGCTTTAACTCCCACATCAGGTCCTTTTGATCTTCCTGGTTTATCTGCAAAATCGACCAAGAATCGATGAGAGAACATGTTTTATGAAGAATCACAAAAGGGTCTATCACCGTTGTGCGTTCAAACCATATATCATTCTTGCATGTCCAAGTAGACCACAAAAATGGTCCCAGCCTTTATCAAACACATCAGCTAGCTTAATATTTTTGGTAAAACAGATATCATACAACCTGGGATATAATTGATTGAATGGTTTATTATCCACCCACCAATCTTCCGAAAATCTGATGTTTTTGCCATTACCAACATTTTCTTAATATATTGACAGCCACCCCAAACATTTTTCTTGATCTCACTTTTTAAGAAGTTGATTTCCAGCCCATAAATTTGTTCAAATTTTGATCACTAGAAATATCATCATAGGTGGCAAGAATATTATGTCATCTGCATACTGCAATATATTAATCACTTCCTTCGCTTGTTTCCTCTAGCACCCCTTTCACAAAACCGTGCTACCTTGCATTATCCATGACAACAGAATCAAATTGCGGGACAATGAAACACCATGTCTCAGACCTTTAAAGTAGGAAAGAAAGGACAACAGAATCATTGACTTTAATTCCCACACATCCACCATTCATTGTCTCCATAATCCAATCTTCTATTTATTAGGAAATCCTTTTAAAGTTAACGTTTCATGGACAAATGGTCGCTGATTTTATCATATGCCTTCTCAAAATCAACTTTAAAAAAGCATGACATTTTGCTTTTTTAGCATGTATTGAATTCAAAGCCTTGTACAAAATTAGCACCCCTTCCATAATGTATCTACCCTGAACAGAGGCAGTTTGAACCGGAGAAATTAAGGACCCAACCACCTCACTCAATCTGTGCGTAATTGCTAGATGCTTAAAATGTTGGCCCCGCAATGCGTGTGCCACTGCATTCTTGCTATTACCAAATGACATGTACCAAAGAATTGACTTTTCCAAAAATATACAAGGTAAAAAGAAGAAGCTACACTGCCTAAATGTAACAGATGTGTGCTAGTATTATCACTTTGGCGAAATATCTTGTCAAAGAATCACATAGGCAAAAGCTTCAAATTACCCGTATAAATCGGAAGGTTGTATTTGGTTGGTACTTTATCTTCTTGGAGTACTAGGGTATTTCAATTTTGTTAGTGAAAGGGGATCAATGCTCAAAAGGCAATGCCAACTTCCTGTAAAGCAAGTTGAATTCCCTAGTCCCGCATGAGCCGAGGACGAAACTTCCTCTTAGATAGAGGGTGAAATCGTGTTGGTGTCTTGGTGAACTATTGGTTGTTTCAGAGTCACATTAAACATTGAACCTTAAGTTGGACCATACTGTGAACAGACATTGTATCTTGGTGATTTGTAGAAGGCTACTTCTTGTCTGAACAATACAGGCTAACTTGCAGAGTTTTTTCCTTCAAACCGTGCAGGAAGACTGTACGTGAATATATAGATAAAAAACAAAGGTTCCAAACGACAATTACAGCAGTTGTTAAGCGTGAGAAAGATCAGAGAAGAGAAAGAGAGCAGAAACTGGTCCAAAGCAGAACAAACACGCAAGAAAAACGACCGCAGGGACAGTAAATCTACGTGTACAGCGCGAGTGCGCCACAGTCCACCGCGGTCACTTGTATCAATGGCAGTGATATGATAATACTATGAAATTCAAAATCCACTTACAAACTTTACAACCGGTTCAATCAAAGCCATAATAATTAACATAACAGTGCCCACACCACACATCAAACTTAAGCTCCACAGATACAGATAGCAGCACCACCACCACCACCACCAGTGATCAGGTGATCAATGATCATGCACTCAGGCGGAGGAGCCCTTGAACTTCTTGGCGATGCCGGCGAAGTACTTGCCCTGGTGGAAGGCGTGCTCCAGCTCCATCTCCGACGGCCACCGCGACCCGTCCCCCGCGAACGTGCCGGCGCCGTACGGGCTGCCGCCCTGCACCTTGTCCATGTCGAACATCTTGGCGCCGAACGTGTACCCCACCGGCACGAACACCATGCCGTGGTGGGTCAGCTGGGTCACCGCCGTCAGCGGCGTCGTCTCCTGCCCGCCGCCCTGCGTGCCCGTGCTGAAGAACACGCCCGCCGGCTTCCCCGCCAGGCTCTGCTCCCTCCACAGCCCGCCCGTCGCGTCGAAGAACGCCTTCATCTGCGCCGCCATCATGCCGAACCTCGTCGGGAACCCGAACAGGACGCCGTCGGCCTCCGCCAGCTCCTGAGGGGAGATCACTGGCACGTCGGTCTTGGGCGGGGCGCCCATCTTGCCAAGGACTTCCTCGTTCAGGATCTCAGGGACCTTTAAGATAGATGGTAGGTAAAACATGTATGAATTCATTTTTCATGACATCTTTCTCTATACATCATAAACAGGGTTGCTGAGACTGACCTGCCACACTTTAACCTCCACGCCTTCGACAGAGGAAGCACCTTTCTTGATCTCATCAGCTAGCTTAGCAACATGACCATACATGGAGTAGTACCTGTCAAAAATTGGTGATGATTTTACTCCCTACTTTTTATTGACGTGCAAGAAGCAAGACACAATGATATATCTTGTCCCATAAACATCAACCACCACTACTTTCTTGTTTACGCGTGTTTCAGACAACTTTGGGAAACACACTAGGCTAACAAAAGGAACAAAGGACATCATGAACCAGCTAGTGTGTTACGCACGGCACAAATGTTCATCAATTAACGAACTATGTAAGACATATGTGTCGAGAACTTCGCGCCAGTATATTATATAACTACTTCAGTAAACTTATGGCTGTAAGTTCTATATCTGGTGATTGGTGAAAGGAGTTTGCCCCCACAGCCACTAAGAAAACAGAGTAATCATGTACAGGCAAAACAATAAGTCTGAAAATGATGTCAAAATGTCACGAAGGGTTTGGGGCAAACTGTCAATCAAAGGTCTAATTAGAATAACCCAGGTGTTTCCCATCTTTTATCTAAAGGCTTCTAGAGGCTTACTTTTTGGTAGTTGGGCAATCCCATTCAGCAGGCAAAATTTTAAAACATGGTCCAATTATAGCTTATGTTAGACAGTGATGGGGTGATACAGGTTAGTTATGTGCTTATGGTTTCTGATAGATGTGACTTCAAAGAAAGACGAGTGATGCGAATTGATAGAGAAATGCTGCTTGCCAATAGCAGGATGCATCCATTGCACTGAGTACTGAACACTCAAAGATGCTTGAAGACACTAGTAGTTTGATTCTGACCAGGAGTGACATTCTTCAAATGCTGATGTGAGTTCTCACACTTTACAGATTAATTGTATTGCATTCCAATATTCAGAAGGCCAGTGGACTTGCTCATACTTTTTTGATAGTAATTATGCACTGGTTACTTTTGTGCTTCAAATAAGCTTTTATTGAGACAGGCATAATTGTGGAAAAGCTAAAAGTTCATGTTGGTGGAGTTGACACTAGGAAGCAATAAGATTGAACACTACTACAAGCAAAGATCCATCACAGGAGACAGTGGGGTTGTAGTGGAAAACCCACATCAAAAGAAAATGACCTTTTAATTGCTGTGCTGCAACTGACAAATTTGCATATGCAAGCGGAAAGAAGGCCACCAAAATTTTAATCAGCAGACTATTTTTTACTAAACGGATTCTTTTAATAAGAAAACATATCATTTAAAAAGAAGGAAGAAACTCAGAGATTTATTTTAAAACGAGAGAAGGGGTAAACTACAATTTGATTAAACATTTAGGCCAGTTCTCACCTAATACACAAGTTCCACATAGTATGTATATATGATTTCCATCCTATTTAAAGCACAAAAGGTTCCATTTTATCTTTTCTTTAAAGGAGCAGTGGACTATCATATAATATGATATACATCGCACTAGAGACCTGAGCATATGCAGCGATGGGTGACCCATGAGTAGCTATGCCTATTAGTTGGTGGGAACAGGGTAAATGGTAAAGATACACTAGCATATCCTGCTATGAAATTCATATAGGAAACGTAGCCCAAAGCAAGCAACTAGGGACAGTCAACAACCTAGGTGATGTTCTTCAGAGAGATGGCAATCAAGGTGTTGTTGACTGCATCCACTGCCACTGGTAACGGGAAATTGCTTCGAGAAGTCGCCGATGTCTGCCCGGACGGCGGATACTTCGGAGGTGCGCGATTCACAGTTTCACACGACAGGGAGGAAAATATATTCAGATAAAGGGGACAGGGCAGGATTATTAGTGCAGGATCAGGTCCCCATCCATATCCGGCATCGATCCCATCATGGACCACCAGACCCACCACGGATTAAATCCATGATTGATGATACCCCATACACATACAGCTAATAATCGAGCACAGGTTATCTGTGACTCTGAACCCTCACCCCCACCACTCGTTTCAGACTTTCAGTTCACTGAAACTGGACTGAACTCTGACGCGAACGATCAAAACTACAAGAACCGCTCTAGACGGAGGCGTGGACGGGCGGAGGGCCTCCCGAAGAACAATTGTGCACTCATGGTCTGTGATTGCTGCCGGGACATACGTTTCAATCCGAATTTAAAAAAATCTAGGCAGAATAATCAACTATCTGAATTAACAACGTCTAGAAATTCAGTTTCATAGTATGCACGAGTGTGGATTGTAATGGGGGGCAGCGAAACAGATAGTAGTAGCAGCGAGGGAGCGGGTGCTTACACGACGTAGACCTTGACCGCCATGGGAGGCGCACTGGAGCTCCGCGGATCTGAGATCTGGTGGGAGGAGGAGGAGGACGGCTCCGGTTGTTTAATGGGTTCGAGATGGAATGGAGGGGAGGCAGTGGGCAGTGGGAGAGGGGAAGGAAGGCCGGGAGCATTTATAGGCCGGCCGTGACGGGGTTGCCGTGCCGGTTGACATCCGAGGTGAGGTCCCAACCAACTACAACTCCTGCCAAGTGGATCCGGGCACTGCCACTTGTGCGTGTGAGTGACCGCTGCTGTGTCACGTGCTGCTCATCCCTGGCCTCTGAATTGTTTTCTCTTCCTTTTTATTTTGGACAGCAGGCCTCAAACCTTTTTTCTTTATTATTTTTTGGGAAAACGTTATCATATTTGCAACAAGTAAGAATATTTCTAGTACTGTCTTCACCATGGTATTGTGATTGTCTTTTTTAATTTGGACCGTTTCTGAGAATTTTGCCACTTGTGCACCTCATCTGTGTGAGCGTTCGACAGGTCCATCCGCGGTCCTAAACTATTCATTTTTGGCCAGCCGGACTCAAATGTTATTTATATTCTCTGTCCATTCAGCGTATGATGAATTAATGATTGTAGAGTTGGTATTTTTGAAAAAAAAAATGTAAAGTTGGTAAAGCTTCTTGAGTCTAGTCAAATGTCAAATACTCTTCCCTTGAAGAAATGTATTCCCCGTCAAAACCTCATATCCAATCCAGCATACAAGGTATCTTTGGCACGTGTACGTACATGGCTAAGATATCATAATTTGTTCGTTTTGTTTGTTTGTTTGTTTGTTTGTGGTAGATGATAGGACATGTATGTAAGCATCCTTATTATCTAAGAGAAACCATGAACTGATTGTTTCTTATTTTAGTTTGTATAGGATGTGCATGTAAGCATCCATAGTTAAACCCTGCAAAAAAAAAGCATGCATAGTTACGATATCATGTAACAGTGGCGGAGCTAGAAAATAATCCAATCCAGCATACAAGGTATCTTTGGTGGATGCGTGTCCATGGCTAAGATATCATAATTTGTTTGTTTTCTTTGTTTGTTTGTGATAGAAGATAGGATATACATGTAAGCATCCTTATTATCTAAGAGAAACCATGGACTGATTGTTTTGTCTTTTGGTTTGTACTAAAAGATAGAATGTGCATGTAAGCACCATAGTTACACCCGCAAAAAGAAATCCATAGTTACGATATCATGCAACAAGTGGCGGAGCTAGAAAATAATCCAATCCAGCGTACAAGGTATCTTTGGTGGGTACGCGTCCATGGCTAAGATGTCACAATTTGTTTGTTTTGTTTTGTTTGTTTGTTTGTGATAGAAGATAGGATATACATGTAAGATCCTTATTATCTAAGAGAAACCATGGACTGGTTGTTTTGTCCTTTAGTTTGTACTAAAAGATAGGATGTGCATGTAAGCATCCATAATTACGATATCATGTTTATTATATTGTTATTGCCTTGGTATTATGGTTATCTCCATTAATTATACTGTTACTTCGAGAATTTTGCTACTTAGTTAGCTGATTTTTTGTTATAAATGTGTTTATATTATCCTCAACAATATTGTACTTACAAGGCCCTTGGTTTTCTCTGTGATGCGCACGGGCATAATAGATGAGGGTAGGAAAGCCACACATGGATTTGTAGAAAGCGGTTTAAGACTTTCCGATTCCAAATAATGTTTTTCTGTAGTGCTAATCCAACCAAACCATTATAGTGAAATTTATGTTCTAAAAGATCTTCTTAAAAAGAGGTTTGTTAAAAATCAATGCTAAAGTACAATAGTTTTATCCCTAGTTTCTATCATCTACCTCCATAAGTTAGTCATAAGTAACTGCCTTTGAAGATTGCTACTATGTGGATTTTTTCTTTTGTAGAAATAAAAATAAATGTTGTTGTCCCTTGACTCTCACCCAAGTATAAGTTTTAGAAAAACTCAAATATTAGACACCTATGACTGCTCGACTCCAACATCAGACATCCTTGGTCCCTCAACTTTCTAAACTATGGATACCTGCTTCAAGCTGTTTTAGAGATGACACGACAACATCCCTACAGACATGCCAACCTTGTTAAAACTGGAGACAAGGGAAAGCCCCGTGGTGG